GGATCTAATCTTCTTTTCGCTGATCCAGGTGCTGCTTATAGTACCTTGGATACTGCCCAAAATGGGATCATATGAGCTTGCCACTGATACTCTATGTGGTGCACGCAACTGCTAGAATGCCATCTGCAAGGATGATTTATTCAATAGCTCAAGAACTGGAATTGCAGCAATGCTAAGAAATCTCCGATTTCTAGAAACATGAATGGCATACTAGAAATTAAAGGCACAGTTTCAAGTGCCAGTGAGAAACTTGTAGTTCTCGGTATTGAGTGTTTAGATTTTTATTTTCCTAGAAGCCTTTGGAATCTTATTCATGGGAAGAAAACAGCACTTGATAATTTGGGTTTATTTATTTTTTAAATTTTCATTGCCTTACAACGTTGTTCTTGTTTTTCAAGGACATGAGAGGGTGTGCACGGGTGAATATACAGATAATTCCCCTTGTAGCAAACTTTTTCTCCATCCCTAGAGCCAGCAAAGAAGAAAGAAAAAAAGGTGTATGTGTGTTTGAAAATAAATACGAAAGAAAAAAGTCCTTGAAAAAAGGCAAGGCAAAAAAGGGGGTTGTCAGTTCTCTCCCTTTCTCTCTCTCTGTGCACTTGTATGTTGGATCAACTGCCTTGTTTCTTACACTCATTTTGCCATAAAATGATTTGTGATATAGAAAAATGTAGATAATACAGGAGAGTTGGTGGATAACAATGACTGATGGTTGTTGTGGGTTTTTCGGGCTCTTTGGCCGTGTTCTGAAGGTTGTTCTTCCTAACGTTGGTTTATGTGCTGTCCTCTGAAGATGCCGGCCACAGAGACTGGCGAAACGTTAGGAAGAACAACCTTCAGAACACGGCCAAAGAGCCCGAAAAACCCACAAGAACCATTAGATCCCAGCCGTGAAAGCGTTTGCGAAAACAACAATAATTGAATTCTAAATTTCAGCTTTGGATCTTTATTTTTTAGAGTAATGGCTAGAAAGCCCCATGCTGGCTGGGGCATTCTGGGAGCTCTGCCTGAAAGGAGTAACTTCCCCAGGCACGGTTCTCAGTGCTGCCACTCAGTGGAACTTAATAAATATATAGCATTGCACTATAGTTTAATAAATGATGCTGTGATACAGCTATGTAGATTCTGATTGTACGTACTGTTATTTTCTAGTTAAAAGTAGAGCTAGGGCGAGATTTGGATCTTTCAACAGCACAAACAAATAATGACTGTTTTTCCCCCCATCAGCCTTGTCTATTGATTTTATGGCAAGTAGCCCTAAAATGGAGTGGATAACATGTTGCCACCCAAAGCTTTTGGACTGCATTTCCTCACCACTGACTATACTAGCAAGGACTGGTGGCTTTTGTCAGGAGTTTTCTTTGCAACCTTGCATGCTGTCTGTGTGACTGGGAGTGACATTTCTGGTCTGGGGTGATTGTTTATCAATTATTTCTTCCAGCCTTTGGTTTTTCAGAGAGTCCCACCTCTTTGCTGAGTGTCTCTTTTCCTTCTCGTTCCTTGGTTGGTGGCTGTTGCTTGTTTTTTGTTGGTTGCTAAGTATATATGCAGTTGGTTGCTAAGTATACATGCAGTAACGAAATCAGCATACACAAGTTTCTAATTTCATGTAACTGTAAATAAAAACTTTGTTTTATTTTTTCTCTCTCCTATAAATATCTTAGAGTATGTTATTGAGACTTTAAGAGCCAGTTGAGAAAGGGGTGGACTCTGGGGAACTTGTAGCTATTATCCTATGTGGATCTTTGTACTTCTACTGTGTAGCAAAAAGGATTACCAGAAATTCAAAAATCTGCAAGAAAATTTACAGTCTAGTAACATCTGGGGAGATGTACTTTGACATTCCATTTGCTGCAGCCAAAAGAAAAGCCAGCTACCATGTCCTTTTTTTCTGATTGTATGCTTCTCCCACGAGTGTAAGACACTGCATCAGGCAGAATGACATTTTCAAAGGGGCCAAAAGTGATTCCATGGTTTGATCTGGGCAAGATTAATGATCAGGCCTTCTGAGAGCTGAGATTTCACATTGTGAGGCCCTCGTTCTTTCAGAAGAGGCATAAAAATAGTTTAATGTAAAGAACTGCATGTAAAAATATTTGTAGAATGCATTATTTAATAATTTTATTTAGCTTCATCTTTAGGTTACAGTTGCCTGTCTTCCTGTGCCCCTCTCATAGGGCCTGTTAATTATGTCTATAGGCTAGGGGTAAATGTAATCCTCTGCTCATTTTTGAAGTGCAGCTCATGCAGTTTCTCACACTGGCTATGCTCATTAGGGTCTAGCAACACCTGTTGGGCCATACGTAGACCACCTCAGCTGTAAGCTGATCCATAATAATAGCAAACTCCATTCTTTGAGAATTGCTCTTCATACAGTACAGCCAAAATAAGGCAATCCTCACTGAACAGGTGAAGAATCATGAGGCTTTAGGCAATCCACATTTTTGCTACTACACAAAATATCTTTGATGAAGTGTGGGGAGCTCAATGGGAGAAACACACACACAGCTCATGGACTGACACAGCATGTTCAATGGGGCAGAAAGCTGACATGATTTTCATTGATTGAAAACATGGAACAGGGGTATGGGCATCAACCAGGGAGGCTGTTGTACCTGGGAATTTCTATTCTCCCTATAAATAACTCCAGCCAGGAGTCTAACTTCTATTCCTAAACTCTTTCCAAAGGTAGCCTTCTACAGAGTACATTACACTAATCCAAGTGGGATGTGTCATTATGGCCAGATCAGATAAGGCTTAAGTGGAAATGACATGAACTTTTGGAAATAATTAATTCATAAGGTTAGCATAAGTCTGAAGTGACTTGATGGCACATAATGACAAGATCAGGTTTTTCAGGCAACTGACCTGTCAAATTTCAGATGGAAAAAAATTCCCTGTTTCATGGGCCATTTTATAGAGAAAATGCACCTAAAGCTATATGTTGCTGATATTTAGCATCAGTAAGCCTCACACTATGGAGATAATGTAACAAATGAGAGTCAATTCCCCACATGGCAGAAATGCACTGCTGCCCATTTTTAGAAATTGGTACCAATCTAAAGTGAAGTGGAAGTGAAAGGAAAGTCCGATGGTGCAAAGAAAAATACTGCATAGGAGAGAGAGAGAGAGAGAGAGAGATTTCATGCCAGCCACCTCAGGGGACTCTTTCCTTCCAGCAAAAGAGAAAAATCTAGGAATCTCTATGAATGGGTGATCAGTGATATGCTTGCACCATCTTGTGGACTCTTACAGAGACTACAGCCTAGTCCTGCTTCTTCAGTCTTTTTGACTGTAAGCATTTATCAATGCAGCTTTAAATGAGTCAAAGTCAAAAGACACAATTTCTACAGCCTGCAAAAATTACTTTCTGGGACTCATAGTATTGACTAGGGCAAAAATTGAGAGTTTAATCCAGATGAGTAACTTTTTCAGAATATAGACATTTCAGCTTTCATTAGGCAAGGAAAGATTCAGGAAAACGTAAGGGAAAACATGTATACTTACTGGGTTGAATTGTGCAAAATTCGTGTTTTTAAAGAATATTTGTTGCTTTTTTTCAGTCTCTTACCACAATGTATCTGAGAAAACTACAGACTAATCAGCCTCATATTTATACAGGCACAGTTCTAGAAAAGATTACTAGTACATTACCAGTTTATGAGCATCTAGAATAGGAGCTGGTGACTGTGGTCCTTCCTTCATGGCCTACAATGCCCAGAGGTCCTTCCCAATTATATGGTATTAGAGGAGGACCAGTAAAAAAATAAATAAATAGGGAGAGTCACAGTTGCCCACCCATTATTTTGAGAATCAATGCTTTGATTATTCAGTGCCAACATTTATCAAGAATACATTTTGCCAGACCTGTATGTATGTATGTATGTATGTATGTATGTATGTATGTATGTATGTATGTATGTATGTATGTATGTATGTATGTATGTATGTATGTATGTATGTATGTATGTATGTATGTATGTATGTATGTACCGTATGTACCGTATGTACAGTCATGGCACCCTTGCAATTGTGTCAGAAAATGCAACCCTTCTCTCAAATTGCTGCAGTTGCATACTCTAGTCTTGCTTTTTTAAGCCTTTGTGTCAGCAGTGGTATCCTCCTGGGTCTCCTACCATGGAGTCCCTTTTCATTCTGATGGCAATCGACAGTGTGAGCTGACACTGTTGTACCCTGTGTCTGCAGATCAGCTTGAATTTGTTGGGAAGTTAATCTGGGTTCTGTATCCACCATTCGAGCAACCCTTCATTGTAATTTTTCACTCATTTTACTCTACCGTCCACATCCAGGGAGGTTAGCTACAGTGCCATGGGCTGTAAACCTCTTGATGATATTGCGCACAGTGGACACAGGAACATTAAGATCTTGGAGATGGACTTGTAGCCTTGAGTGTTGATGTTTTTCCATATTTTTCCTCTCAAATTCACAGACAACTCTTTACACTTCATTCTTTTCTCCATGCTCAGTGTCACACACAACACAAAGGTTGAGTCAACTTTTCTCCATCTTAACTGGTTGCAAGTGTGATTATTATATTGCTCACGCCTTTTACTTGTGGCAGGTGTGTCTCAATGCAAATTAAAGGAGCATCACATGCTTGGAAAGCAATTATTTCTTACAATTTAGACTGTATGTATGCCTGTACCCTCTTTCCCTGAAAATAGACCTAACCTGAAAATAAGCCCTAGTATGATTTTTCAGGATGCTTGTAATATAAGTCCTACCCCAAAAATAAGCCCCAGTTAAGCGAAACTCTGCCCTCCACCGTTGTGCAACAACCAGAAGAAGATGACATGACTGTATTTGAATAAATGTATTTGAATAAAGGATATGCACTATTCAAAGAGTCAAGATGAGTGAAATTTCACTGAATGTTGAACTGTTTGTATTGCAACAGTTTTGTCCAGATTCTCCTTGCTTAATTTATTTCTGATCAAAGAACCTAATTCAAATACATAACAAATAAAGAAACATAACAGTGACTAGACAATATTTTTATTTGTAATTCAATGATTATATGCCTAAAATATGTCACAAACCCTATTTCTTTTTAAAGTACTTACTATATTTCTGCCATATGCTATTGCAGAAGCCAAAAAACCCACAAAAGAAACTGTAATAATATGTGTTAAAATGTAACAGAAAACGTTAAGTGTAATGAAAATCCACACTGAAAGCCACATGTTTATAATGATGCTCTCAACCACCAATTCCTATACATCTACCAAAAGTACAATTAATGCTTCTCTGTTACTTTGTGCACGTAGTTAAAATGACATTGTTTACTTTTCTTGTTAAAATAACTATTTAAAAAACTCATTACTAAAGGCAGAGAGCCTTGAATCCCTTATGCATGAATGTAATTTGATTTTGCTATATTTGATTATTATACCCGTAAGGAAGAGGAACCGGCTTCCTAAAACACCATTGAGTTTCATAGGTGATATTAAAGTTGTGTTAATAGGTCTAAATCTGGGCTCATTCACAGGAATAGGTCATCGCGATGTTCTAGCAGTGAACATTTACATAGATATGAACCACCTAGAACTGATCTAACACTTTGCTTTGCTTAGTCTGAGAGGGGAGTATTATTCTTTTATTAAACTATTCTTCTCTGTTCTCCTCAGTGCTCAGTGGGTTGCCCAACAACCATATCTGGATAGAGCAAGAATCCCATAAAAGTAGAATCATTAACATTATCAGCATAGACCCCATTGTTTTCTTCTTCACCATAGACTTGAAGCCAGACTTCATCGCCAACTTCTAGGTGAAGCAAAACAGAACCAGATGCCTGGTCAACATCATTTTTCTGGTACTGGTCATAGGTGATGATGACTGCCTTGTCTTTCTTGTACAAGCTGACCTTCACATCTGCAGCATATACCGTGAGATGATACGCAAAATAGTGCACACCAGGAATGTTGCACCGGAACTTCCCTGTTGTCAGATCGTAGTGATTTTGTTCATTATAGAAGATTTTTGTGAATTTGATGGGGATATTTGGGTATGGGACTCTGGCTGTTAGGCCGACACTAAAGGCTGATCGGTAAATGGCAGCACTGTCGCCTCTTTCTCCTTTCATTCCTGGGGATCCTGCGAGACCTCGAGGACCTTGAGCACCAATGGCTCCTAAACTTCCATCATCCCCCTTTGGACCAGGTGTACCTACCAAATAAATTGATTTTTATTAGAGCAGAACATCCTCAATCATCCAAAGAAACTAAGTTGAAAAGACCCCACGTTCCTTCAGGACAAAAATACAATGTATCACGTTGTATGATATTTTCAGTCTGCCTAAGTAATGCTGCCCTGTTTGTTATCAAGCCTACAAATCACATAATACTTTCATACTAGTAATAACTTGGTGCTTGCCCAGGGCTCCAGGCAAAGAGACAAACTGCAGGGTAAGTAACACTGAAGGAGAAGAATGTGGGAGCTTCTAACCATGGGTACTGAGTGCATGGTATGAATGGGGATAGAGTGCTTCACTCTGAAATGTTGAGGTGAGGCTCCCATTTCTCTCACTAATGCTCATAAGAGTTGTGGGGGGATGACATTTGGAAAAGGGGCATGGAAAGAAATATTGGCTGAAATCCAGTCGAAAGATGCAACTAGAAATCCCATTGAATCGATGGAGATTAGGTTAGTCAACTATTCCATAAGTCCCACTGATTCAGTGAGCCTACTCCAGTTGTGTCCTGTGACTGGATTTCAGCCAATAAAAGGTACTGTACTACACCCTTCACCAAGGCTACTAAAATCACAAAACAAAAACCACCACAGATCCTAATAGTTTTTATGTAATTTGCTCCCAGGTATGTTCTGAGAGATTGAGTTTGCTGCTATTGAGTTTCCTTTAGGTTTTATGATTCTGTTGATTTGTTCAAGTGTATTTTATTTATTTCATTCATTTCTGTAATATCCAGTATTTAGTGCACACTAAACAGTTCACAAAAGTGAGATTAAAACCATAAAATATTAGATGGCAATAAAACATAATATAAAAGCCTGAATAAAAAGAAACAGCTGAAGAATAGAGATCAAACTAAAATTAACAGCTCTTTTAATTTTGAAATGCTTTAATTATTAAGGTGGTCTTTTTATTCTCAACTCTTTCATCATTTCATGTTATTGTTGTTGTTAATGTCACCATCTTTCATTCCGTGCAATTTACCATCATTTAAAACCTCTGCCTGAAATATAGAAGAGGAAGGCAAGGCCCAATGCACAGTTCAAAGACAAATACTTGTGAGGAAGGAACTCTTCAGATTGTGTAAGTCTGAAGCCAAGTATGCCTTTTCCCTTTTCTTATTTTTCTGATATATTTGTGTGTGTGTGTGTGTTTTTCTTCTTCATATTAGTAGGCCATTACCCTAAAGTGGAAGGAACAACATGTGTAAGCAGAAAATAGCATTACCGTTACTGCATGTAAAGAAGTGGCAAAGACTGGACACTTCCCCATCTATATTGATGAACCAGCATGTTTAACATAGAAGAACAGTGGGGTATGCCATCCCTTTCTTCTTCCCCTTTCCCTCTTCCTCTGAAGACTCTGAAAATCTTGCTCTGGAGTCCTCTGGTGAAGGGATGTGATGGTGCCAAGAGGGCAGGAAGATGACCTCCCTCTTAATCCACATGGTAGACTCACCCCCATTAGATTTTCTCTAATGCCAAAATGCCATGCTGGCTTCAGGGTTTTGGAAATTATATTCAAAAATGAAACATGTCCCATCTCTGGGTTGTTGTGTTTTTTTTGGCAACGTTATGGTAACAGTAATAAAATATATATTTTGGAATGTTTCATAATTGTCCTCATAATCACTTCTTGTATTTGTTTTCACTGTGCTCTTGCATTGGAAATATCAGTAAAACAGAGCACTTTTTTCAGGCAGGCTCTCTTACTTTTTTTCTTAGTACGTAGGAGTTTATGTCTGATATTACTGAGATTTTACTTAATGCTTCAACTTCATGGCATGTTTTGCACTGCCACTTTGCAGAATCTCTTACTTTCTATTATCTATTATATATGAATATAAAGTCATGCGTCTGTCTGTCTGTCTTTTAAGGGGAAGAGAACATAGACCATCTTTAACTTTGTTTTTATGTTTCCCCATTGAAAGGGAGAACATTCATGTATAATTAAATTTTGATTAATTCTGATCACAATCCTCCTGATTTATTGAGAGTCATATACAAGTCCACAAAAGTTTACACCTCTTGAGGGGACAGCTGCCTTGAAAAGAATGGACGAGGAAAGCCTCTCACCTTGTTCTCCTTTCTCTCCCTTTTCGCCATCTCTTCCATCTCTGCCGTCTCTGCCTGGGGCTCCATTGTGACCTGGGTAGCCAGGTGCACCTGCCATCCAGTTTGCACAAGTTCCTCCAGCAGAGGGTTGAGGGTCTTCCTCAGCGACTACATCCAAGTAACAGCAAAGTTTCACCAGAAGGACCAGTGAACAGAAAAGAAGTCTTGATCTTTGCTTCATACTGAACCTGCTAGAAATAATAATGTCTGCATAAGAAACGTGTAGAAAAAACCCAACTTGGCCCCTCATCCAGGGCGGATTGTGAAACAGGAAGGGGGGGGCATCCAACTTGAAAATTTTGCCAGGAGAATAAACCTTGATAGTTATTTCTTTCCTGCATTTCTATAAGATACGTATGTGAAAATCTTTCAGCCTTAATTTTGTTTCCTTTCTCCAAAACCCACCTGCATTTCTTTCCGATCTTATTTCCTGTTCTGGTTGTTTTGCTCCTCCTCATACTGAATTCTGTATACCATTAATCTATTCTTATGATTCTGAACACTTATTTACACATTTTACCTAATGCCCACATTTTCTCATTAACTCAAGTATCTTTGTGTATTTTTTTTAATTGCACACATTTGAACATTTCACATTTTTAAATGTGCAGATTTCTCTGTGTGTGATTTTTCCCCTATGAAACACTCATGATCCTTACGATGTGTGAATTCTTGAGGAGGACTCTTTTCCCCCCCTTATAACAAGTCTCAGGAGCTGTTAAAATGTTCCATGAATGCTGTCTAATACAATGAAATTTTTTTTGATCTCTAATTTCTAGCAGTCTCATGGAGTGTAGAAATGGGATGCACACTAAGAATGCAACACAGGGAAGCAAATCCTTGTTAAAATGCAAGTGAAGATGAACTGTTCTGAATTTGTATTTGAAGCAGTGCTTGGAATTATTATTTTTGGACTAGAACTTGCAGAATCTCAAGGTGCAATAACTGGTACTAAAAAATAAATGTTTCCAACTTCCAATGAAGTGGGCAGAACATTGATTTTGTATTTTACCAATTTTGGTTGTCTAAGAGCTTCGTTTTACTGGGGGAAATGTATTTGAATTGGGTTTAGCATGTTTTAAATAATTTTTAAAAAGGGAAAAAAACAGGAAAGTTTTCCCCAGACACATAGATACACCAAAATCCAGAGAAGCTTCTAATGACTCTCCTCTGAAATCCCTCCACGTTTGATGAAGATTAGATTTCAGACATCAAAGTTATACACCCACAAAGTGGTCCCCCTAGGAAAGTTGGGAACACCCAATCCTCACCAAATAGCAATTACTTTGTGCAAAGTTTTCTGAAGCAAATTGCTTTGCTGGGTGTAGTGGGGATCATGTCAGGTGAGGGAATAATTTGATCTCTCTGCATGCTATGTTCCCAATGAAAATTCCCCACCCCCCACTTCCACATAGTATAATTTATGGGACGGGAGAAGGAACTTCATGGCACATACTTAGTCCAACATGTTGAATTTGGAACAAGAGTTTTATGAACTCTTGGAGAGCTCAGTGGTTTGGGTACAAATTGGGAGTTCAATTCCCCACGGTGCCTCCTTGACAGAGGATGGACTCAATGATTTGTAGCAACCCATCCAGCCCTGCAGTTCTAAGATGGTGGTGATGATGATGATGATTCAAAGATATCAGGCAGTCAATCAAAATTATAAAAATACCAACTGGTATTTTATGACAGATACAAAATTTAACGAAATACCTAAATACTGGGTGAGAGAGGGAATTTCTAGCTTGGACTCCCTTGGCCCTGCAGGACTGGGCCCCTGCTGCTGCTTCGGGCTGCCCCACCCCTTCTTCAACACCAGTCACTTGGCTTGAAGGGGAGAAAGGCTGTAAAGGCCAGAAGCTTGTGCCAGGGCCCAGCTGGACCAGCGTTCCTGCCTTTGGAACCTTTATTATTATAACAGCACCTTTATTATTATTAACAGCAATATCAGTAACATCGATAATAACATCAAGACCAGCAATAACTAAGAGGACAAGGTCTCACAACAGAGGAAGACAGAACAGGACTACATGTAGAG